TAWWYMTTTTATATTTATATTATTGCTAAATGAATAAAACCTGTAAGTTCTAATGATATTACAGTTATTTATTTATTGTTTTTGATCAAATGATGAATATAGATTAGCCTTGATGAGTAGACCTTATATACAGATGTCAAAGACTAATTGATATAAAACACAGTTGACTTTTAGACACAAGGATAACAGAACAATTTGTGTTTTATCTATTGTCACTGTACGCCTACATTATGTAACATTTACATTAAACAAACTGGGATTTTAAAACCATTGTTGAAAACAACAACTGTAGAAAATACATCTTAAACACTTTTATGTTTTAAACTATAAAACTGTCATGAACACCCAACAGCCTTTTAAGTGTAAACTTAATTTCAACATGTTAATCTCATCTGTATGTGCTCTGTTTTTATATGGATTTATCGTATGGGGACAGTTACAACAACTGTTACAACTGTCCCCCTTCCTGTCAGCCATGATAAAACCTCATGTGTTAGCTAAATAAGCTCATCTGGATACATGTTAACTAGATTAGTTAAAAGTCAACAGATCACTTGTTTAAACCATAGAAGTTTGAGCTGGATCACAAAAACAGTGACAACAGTTTAACAAAAATAAAACTGGGTAAAAAAATACTTTGGTTCCTCAAAAACAGTTTTTTAAAATAAATCCTGGATCAGTTTTTGAATCTGTTTACTTTTTCTTTACAAGGTGGGACATCTAACTGAGCATGTACAGTGTGAGTGTCATCACTCTGTGTTTCTGTTTGGAGAAAAATGACCTGTTGCAACCGTCCCTTGTTGATACTGTCCCCGGTCTCCCCTATGACTGGTTTCCGGTCTGGTTTAATATGTTTTCACAGCTTTTCCTAGAACCATGTCACCATCATGACTTTAACCTGACGTTTGCTTGAATGGAGTCCTCTACAAGCAGAGTAATTTAAGCCTACAGGCTGTAGCTCCGTTTCAGGAAGGCAGTCAACCGGAAACAGAACTTGAGACATTTTACAACTAGATGTCACAAGCAGTTTAGAGATGGTTATTACAAACAACCTGTCACAAGCCAACATACACTCTGTGATTAGATTGTCTTCACAATGTGCAAATGTAAAAGAGCTCATTCATTTTCTCCCTGTAAAAGTCAAATATAATCTAAAATTTTTATTCTCTGTAGCAACAGGAGGAGTGTTTGTTTAGCTAATAGTATCAATAAGCAATGTAACACAAAATTGCATACAAAAGAATTTAACTGGAAAACAAAAATGGCAGACATGGACATGTTTTTTGTTTATTTACCAGTAATGTCCTGATGCATCTCAGTAATTCCAGGTAGAAAAAATCAAAAAGAAAAAATCAGTAGGTCCTCTGGATGGTTCTTCTTTAGTGAAACGTTTCGTCTCTCCTCCAAGAGACTTCTTCAGTCTGATGAGTTTCACCTGACTCATTGGTTTGGATGCTGAGGTTCTTAGATGTCGTGTCATGTGTATGTAGTGAATGCAGGCAGGGCTCAAAGTCCTCAAGCTGGAGTTAATCAAGCCTATTATTAGTCAATGGTCCTCTTTTGCATGTGACTAACCTGTTTGTCCACCATGTGGAGGCAGCGCTTTTAAGGCTGAGTTCACCTGAAACTCATCAGACTGAAGAAGTCTCTTGGAGGAGAGACGAAACGTTTCACTAAAGAAGAACCCTCCAGAGACCTACTTATTTTTTCTTTTTGATTTACCAGTAACCTTATATTATCTTTACTGTAAATTATATTAATAAATGTATTTACTTAAATTGAGAACAACTGTGTCTGACTGATTCAGTAAGCATCAACAGTAACACCAACAGTGTTCTTACCTGGAAAACAACCCTGGACTTCTCCAGAAGATATTTAGACAATGATGTCCCAACAACAACTCCACTGCCAACCAAGAGGACAAACAAAGGTCGATTTGATTCAATTCAGTTCAATACAATTCAATTCAATTCAATTCAATTCCAAAATACTTTATTGATCCCAAAGGGGAATTAGATGTTGTAGTAACTCATTTAACAAAAGAGTTATTGTAGATGCTGATGGCTGTGGGCAGAAAAGATCTTCTGCAGCGGTCTGTATTACAACAAAATTGCAAGCAGCCAGCAGCTGTAACTCATCTCAAAACAATAAAAACATTAATCAGAAAATCATCCTACTGTAAATTAGAATATGTGGACTTACTGAAGAATATGGATGTGGAGGTATTTGCCAAAGCGACTGGAGTTGTTGTTGAGGATGGTCTTGGCATTTCCAAAACTCTCGAGGATAGGAAAGACTTCCATGGGCTAACAAACAATTAGAACGGAAGATTTATAGACAAAACAGGTAATTTTATACAAAGCTACTGATTGAAACTGGTTTATGTTGAGAATTACCTGCCGAAGGCTGTTGTTTCTGTTGTGATACATGGAGCTGAGGTACTGAACTATTAACTTTGTAGCTTCAGTTTTCCCAGAACCACTCTGTCCACTACACCAGAAGCAAAATATTGGACAAATTTACACTGATTTAAATGAAAACCAGTCACAGGTCATTACTGATCTTGTATAAATCGTTGTAAATATAAATAAAAAATAAAGTCAATTAGTTTTCATAACTTTTCCCTTTTAAGAAACATTAAAATTAAGCTTGCAGATTTGACTGAATTAACCAGAAATAAACCCTAGAATTGGTGACACTAGATTTTGTTTCTACCTTATAACGATGCATTGTTCTTGTGTAGAGGACTGAGAAAGCTGGAAGGCTGAGTCAGCTATGGCATATACATGCCTGAAGCACAGAGCAACATCAACATAAGCAAACATAAGAAATACTGAAGCACATGATGGGCGTTGAACTGAGTCATTATATTTAACAGCAGTTTAAGAAGTTTTTGCTCACGGTGAATTAGCATGCTGCTCTCTGCCTTCATACATCTGCCTCATCTCCTCTGTGTAAATGCTCACAGGCTTGAAGGGATTCATTGACAGCAAGATATTTCCAATGTAGGTCTGGTCAAAAACAAACACACAAAAAAAATACATTAGCATATTTACCTATATAAGAACACTCATACCTTATTTGTGTGACCTGGGTGAAGAATGAAATGCACTTTTTGTTTTATTGCCCTTTGTATATGATTTTGAGAAATGAATTATTTCGTTCCATGGTTATTAAGTTCTTCATGTTTATCCAATTGTTTTTAATTGATGAAGATAAAGTGCAGTATTTACGTATTTAAATATTTTGTGTTTAGTTAGCTCAGTTAATTTTAGAGGCCTGGCACCTCAGGAAAGAGAACACTTTTTGTATGTATGTTTGTGTACCCTCTTGCACAATGGTGGGCACAAGCCCGCTAAAGCACAAATTCGCTAGTTGCATACCTAAATATATCATTTGCACTTTAGCAGACTTACTAATTTTTATGATTCATAAACAGATTTGCACTTTCTAAAATTTAAATGCAGTACCGCTAATAACTATTTATCCACCAGTCATCAGTATCTTAAACAGCAGAAGGAATGACTGTCAATGAATCACAACACATGATCTATACAACAGTAACCCTCCCAGATAGACACATGTGTTGGAAACGTATACATCCTTCCTGACAGTTGCTCTCGGTCAGGGTTCTCATTTCCCACAATGCTTTGTGTCTGCTTACATTGCAGGAAGGCAATGTTTAGTGCTCCCTTTCCCAGCAAAAACAGCAAAAGTTTGTAATCCATACTAAAATTTTGTATGTATTGATTTATTTTACTTTAC